AATAATAATAATCGTTAATTAAATTAAATTCAAAAGTTAAACCATAGGAGAAATTTCTGGCAAAATAAATTTACAAGTTTGGTTTGAAAAAATAAGCCTAACTTCTACCTGGTAGCTAATGCATAGAGATGTCTTTACAAATTGATGAAACAATAATTGGCTCAAATTTCGTCATCTTTCTTCTGGCTCAATACTTTCATTATTTTGCTTTGCAGATACTTTTTGGCAAATGTAGAAAAGTAAAATGTGGCATCCAGTCAGATTGTTGTACTGGAAGGAATTAAATTAAAAAGCAATAAACATCGTCTTTTTCACAAATAACCTTCAATGCCTTCCTTTTCCTTCTCTCTACCATTCTTTCTAAATATATCTGCCTGAGTGATTCCATCCTACTTTTTCTTTTCAAAATAAACTACAAATTCATGAAATCCTTTTACAAGATGTTTACAAGTTAATTCAATATAGATGCTATCAACAAATAAATAATATTTCGAAAAGGCTTTTAGGCTTTTTCTAGACTTCAAGACTTTTTTAGATGTTTTTAAAAAGATTTTGCTTGGTAGACAATTAAATAGATCATAGATTGAAAGTAATTCATAGCATTTTTATTGAAGCATTGGCAAAATTGCTAAAATGCAAATTTAATTCTCCATCTGTAATACTTTGTGTTAAAATGTTTTGCAAAAGTAATGTTTAATACTTCGCAAAAAAGAAGAAAAGAATTTAAAAAATATTGATTTCAAAATGCTATAATAATTTCAAAATGTGATTTTTTTTTTCGAATTTCAAAAAAAAACATAATTCATTTGATACTCCTTAGTGATGCCCCTTTTAAATTCAAGAATTTAAATTTATTTTGAGAATCGAAAAAAAGGAAAGAAAGGGAATGAGACAATAGCTTCAAGAATTAAAATGATTACAATTGCTAATAGCAAAAAAAGTGAAATCCATAGATTCGAATATTCAAAATGCATAACTAACAAATATTTCTTTTTGCACGACTTTGCATGCTATTAGTATTGCAAGTTAACTGCTATTAGTAAATTTGGAAATCATAAGCTTGAAAACTGAACGACAATTAATTACTGATATATACTTGTACCTAAGCATTTCAATTACTAATATTCATTTGCGTCCAAAAGAAGAGGAACTTAATTTATCATTTTAGCTATCAAAGAATGCCCATTTTTGATACGCTAAAATGTGCGAAAGATTTTTGGAAAATTGTTGTTTAAAAAATAAATATTCAAAAGATAAAAGTAAAAGAAACAAAAACAGAAGAAAGACAGCAAATGAAATTAAATTTATATATAAAAAAACTTACAAAGTAAACATTCAAAAAAAATATCAAACATATCCAATTATAAATTGATACTAAATACTATAAACGATTGGGTATAGTAAGAAACGATAAGTAATAATGATAAGATTGGATTATAAAGTGACTAATGTTATCAAATGCTTATCATATCAATAGTTTTTGCAGAAGTTAAAATGAAATTTTAAGAATTTATCTCATAACTGTAAGAGACAATTGTTAATAATTATTTAATAAGAGAAAGAATAACTGTAAAATTTGATTAAAATAATAGAGAAATGAAAAAGAGAAGTATGTTTAAATATATAAATATTATTAACAGCAGAAATGTCGCCGATAATGGATGATATAATATAACGATTTAAAATTTGGAATAAATGATTTCAGATGTAAACAACAATAACAGTAAAACAACCATAAAAACAACGACGACAACAACAACAAATAAA